TGTGTGTGTGTGCTTCTGTATGTATCTGTTTGGATGTATGTATATTTCGTCGGTTCTGGATGTTTGATTTCGTTATTCAAATGCTTCAAAGCCAAGCAGCAAAAATAAAAATAAAAAAAAAAGCAAAGTACTACCACCCTTCCTCCCAGTTTTCAAAAAGAAAAAGGCATAGAATAAAATCATTAATCATTTGTAGGTTGAACTTTGGAACAGAATGAAAAATTTTCTGGTTCAACAATTGTTTTTTTTTTGTTCAACAGAATGCTCACAGTTAAAAGTAATATTTATTGAAACCAGAAACAGTCATCTCAATGACTACTTTCATAAGTAAATAATTAATTGCAAAACCTAAAGTGTTGATAAAAAATTTTAAATCTTTGCTGTCCTTGTAGCTGGCTGATGATATATTCAGACATCTTTGCAACAATTCAACACAACTTTTTGGCTATAATTAAGTGCTATGATCAGAAGTTTTAGTTCTCGATGTTGCGATTTCTACGACTTTCTGTACAAATACTGATTTCTCAATAATGACTATGGCTTGTGTTTTGCTCCCTTCACTATTTTCCTTTCTTTCCTTCCTTTCACTTCCTATTTTCTCCTCTTTTCTTCCCATCTTCCCCTTCACTAATATACCGCTTGTTCGTTGTTAACCAGACCGTTCACTTGTAAAGAACAGGAAAAAGAAGAACAGAATGACAAAATAAAAAAGAACAGTCCTCCCAGAAAAACGTACAAGTTTCATTACTTTATTAAATTTTAGCAGAAAAAATCAACTATCCCTTCTGCAATGCTCATTTTCTTCGTTAAAATTATAGAAAATTTCCGTTAACAAACGCTGCTGCTTCTTTTTTTTGTCTGTTCAGAGCAAATATAATAGCAAGAAATATTTGCAAAGGGAAAGAGATAAACCAAATTAAAAGGATACATAACTAAAATTTACAGCGAAAAAAAAAGCTTGTTACATTGAATGCAAAAAACAGTAAAATAAACAAGTAAACAAAAAGCAGATAGCCCCATAACTTTCATTTCCTTCGTTCCATTGATTGTAGCCGAAAAAATGATTTGTGAGAAAATAAAGTCCAATGAAATTTAGAGAATAGCAAAAACAAAAAATTGAAAGACAAATGAAAAGTGAAGAAAAAAGAAAAGCAATGTATTTTGTAAAATGACAGCAAAAAAGAAATGGAAGAAAATGAAGGAAAACAGAACAACTTTTTTTTTTTCTTCATCATCATCTTCTTCTTTCACTAATAGTCTGTTCACCGTACTCTTCAACACTTTTTGAAATTATATATATATATTCTTCTTCTAAAAATATTTGGAAACAGTGCCACCTTTTTTTTTTCCCTCGATCCGTTAAGTATCATATAACATCGGCAACAACAACATCAGAATGAAAGGAAAAGAAGGAGAGGTAAAGACGATAAAAATAAGACAAACGAAATTGGAATGAAATCGTATGGCAGCCACAGAAAAGGTGTGGAATAAGGGAATAAGGTAGAAACTTCGTGGGATAAAAGGTGAGATTGATTCGCAGGCAAAATGTGACAGCAATCAGAGAAAAGGCAAATTCGTTTCGTTCTCTTTTTTTCGTTTTTCGTATATGAATTTGGGTTCAAAGATTATTTCTTGCCGGCTTTTTCGGGCTTCAC